CGGCAGATAGGACAGCTACGGTGAGGATGATGTGGATGTTCACAAGGATGCCCAAGGAGAGCTGCGCCAGCACAGCATTCAGCAGGACGGCTAGCACGAACCATCCCATCAAAACAGTCCTGACAGAGGACATGTTGTCACAAGAATATCAGAACGCAAAAGCGAAAAAAAAAAAAGGATAAAGAAAGAAAACAAGGAAAAAATGAATTCGGTTTTTTATCTTCTTCCTTACAACTCCCCCTGTTCAGAACCTCTATACATCGTCAAACAGAACTGCCCGGTAAACCGCCGGCAGAGAATGAGAAGAGGATAACAAACGAGGGGCTGTGATATATACATATATAGTCAAAAACAGAGCTGATCGGTATATATATATCATCACATAAATATCAGAGCGCAAAAGCGAAAAAAAGGAAAACAAAAAAGATATCAATTCATTTTTTATAGTCATATACATTGTCACAGAGTTATAAGACCTTATTTGCAAGAAAATAGTCAGGAAGAACACAGGCAAAAGCAAGCTCTGATTTTTAGTTTTTTCTCTTCTTTCCTCCTTTTCCTTTCTTCTTTTCCCATTCCTGCTTTCCCCCCCTCTATTTCCTTTCCATTTTATTACCTTTTTCGTATAATATACCCCGCGTAACTATGACCAACGAACAGGTTATTAATCTACATTCTCACGTTACTAATCGACATACTATTATGAGCGCCAATCAATACCTTCTACCGTCCTCCACCGAATAGAACATAATACAATCATTGTCCCCGTATTTTGGGGGGCAAATTTAAGTCTAGATGCAGCGATAATGACCGTACGTTCTATTCTGATGTGGAAACAGGTTACCTGTGACGGTAGGTGGCACATGATTGCTCAGTCATACCCTGGAAAGAAACCCTATTCTGATGTGGAAACACGTTACCTGTGACGTGGCATAGTCTGGGTGGTGACCTGGCTTGAGAGAGCCTCTCACTTTCTTCTGAAGAAGCCTCGGGGATGCGCGCGCGAGCTATTTCTACCCGCGCGATTTCCACCCTCCATGTCATTTCTCCTCCCGCCATTTCTCCTCCTCCCGCCATTTCTCCTTCCGCCGTTTCGCGCGCCGTTTCACCCACTGAGTCAAGATGGCGGGCCATTTTGCCTTCGCCCCCCCCCCTCCCTCCAGCGAATCCTGCTCCGCCCGCTGAAGATTGAATGGCAACCTGACACGTGGCTATCCGTGATTGATCCCCGCCCTTTCGGTGGGTGATTGCGCTATCTTCTTCTAACCTGACACGTGGCACTTGCCCATCAACGCAGTTATCGTCGGGGGGAGAGACTCCCCGTACCTCAACGTAACCATCCCTACTCTCGGTCATCATGCTGCCATCTGTTATCGGGTCATGGCCGTTAGATCGGACATCGGCCTGGACCTGCCCCTGCGCGTCATTGCGATCCCCATTTGGCTTGTTGCGCTTGACCGACGGCAATCGTCTTCTGCCGCCTCGTTGCATCGCCGGCGGCCCCGCGTCCTTGTGTGCGACCACGTGCGACACCACACTACTGCCACAAACAGCGTCCTCCCGGAACAACTTGCACACGTCGCGTATGCGAAACTTCGACAATGACGTATTCAAGTCAGTAGCATGTGGATCGTTCTCTACACGGCAATTCAATCGCTCCATCTGCGACGATAGCTCTCCCAACCCCAACTCCCCTCCATTTCCGTCTTTATTCTCCTTTTCCTGCTCATCCTCCACCTGCCTGATGCGAGGGCGCCACGTGTCAAGCTCACAGGACGCCACATCAGCATCGGTCGTCCTCAGCTGCTTCGGATCCAACACGGCTGTCGTAGCACTGCCATCGTGTTCATTGAGACCAAACGAGACTTGACGATCGAACGGGCACGAAGCATCACGCAAGGAGGAAGATGACCACCTCCTCCATCGTCGTCGAGTGTCCTGCTCCACAGCCGTCATCTTCACTGCCTCGCTGTGCATCGAAGAGCCAACGACATCCGCATCAGCAGCATTGACGTCATGCTGTCCAGCATCCACGTGTGCGACAGCTGTGAGAGCCACGCGTTCAATGACACCCGTGAGAGGGGCCAGTGCCCCCCCCTCCTCCTCCTCCTCCTCCTCCCGCCCTACCGGGACAGACCGGTCATCTCCGCGGCACCCACGTTGCGGGATATCCACCTGTCCAGCAGAAGAGAGATCTTCAGCGGCACCCAAGTGATCGACGCCGAGATCCGCGTGGTTCACGTCGCGTTCCTGGCGGGGCCCCCCGCCGTCGATCGTTTGGTTCCCACCTGGACCTGCGCCCGGGACAGGTTCACCGTCCACAACGAAACATCCGCCGTCCTTCACGTGGGCAGCAGCGGAGGCATCCACGTCACCCCCCGACAGAGCGACGTGGACAGCAGGGCGGATCACAGGAACTCGAGTCGTCTGCGAAGAAGAAGCGCGACTTGGATGTACTACAAGGTCAGCGTTCGACGCGGAGGTCATCGGCCTACCACCGTCCCCATCACAAGCGTGCGAGGCGGCTGTTGTTCGGACACCTGCGCGGGCGTTTCGTCCGCCGCGACTCAAGCTGCCTCCTCCCTCTCCCCCTCCCCGCTCTCCTCCGCCCGCTCCGGGTTCTTCTGGCGTTACCTGTCTGTTATTCGATGGATTGGGTCTGCTGCGGGAGCTGCTGGTATGTGTGGTCAGCAGTGAAGAGTTTGAACGACCGGCCAAGCAAGCGACCGCTGGGGTTTCCACAGTGCTCGCAGGCGATACCGACAGGCCGGTCTCGACCGACGGACCGGCGCTGGGGTCCGCCGATGGCGATGGCACGTAATAAGAAGACGAAGGCCAGGCGTTCGAGCCCAGCCCCAAGACCAACTGAAGAGCAGACTGGTCTGTCGAGGAATCGCGCGAGGGAGGAGGAAGAGACGAAGAAATCACAATGCGGGAAGGAGTCAAACCAAGAAGCCTCTCATGTCTTCTCCTGTTTCCACGTGTCTTCATGGGCGCCGGCAATTCTTTGCGCTCCAATTTCCACCTCGCTATGCAATACGTCTCCAGCGTCGAATATAGCGCCTGCTCCGTTCTTTCGCGCGGCAATCTTCTCGTTCCACGCCTCACATGAAGGGTGCCTCCTCTCTTAATTACTGAACCTGTGTCAGAATGCCACAGCGAACGACAGGCACGCATTAAAATCTCTCTCTCTCTCTCTCTCTCTCTCTCTCTCTCTCTCTCTCTCTCTCTCTCTCTCTCTCTCTCTCTCTCT